AGTACACATACCCCTTCACAAACATCCCCTTCTTCGCCTCCTCGGACTCACCCTCGCCGGTGTACTTACCGAGCTGAGCCAGCGAGTTAGAACTCGCCCGCTGAAGCAAAGCATCCTGAGCCGCCTTCACATTCTCCGGCCTTCCTCCCCATGTCTTCAAACAAGTGTTCTGAAGGGCACGCGCATACGAAAACGACACGTGCCACGGGTTAGGGCTTTGGTTCATCGCATTCAAGTTCAATGTAGCCTCCACCTCCGATTGCCCTCCCGACAAAAACTGCAATTGATCACATCAATAAGTTATGTTGTAAATCATCATGAATTTTCCGCTAATTTACACTATTTTTAGGGATACTTGCCATGATTCCGGGAACTGCAGGTGGGATTCTTCTTTGGAGAAGCTTGAGAGTATAATCGGCGACCTGTTCAGGTGTGGCCCGTTCTTTGCATTCGGCTCCCGGTGTAACCATGCTTGGTTTCAGAAGAATTCCTTCGAACAACACGTTGTTTGAAGCAAGGTAAAAGAACACCTCCGCCCACACTGCCTGAGCAACCTCGAAGGTCCGATCAATTCCGTGTTCTCCGTCTAGCAAGATCTCCGGCTCAACAATTGGAACCAGACCATTGTCCTACAAACGCACCACATTAAGACCTGATAAACCACATCCATGATCCAACCATGGTGCATTGGTTACTAATAGTTTAGTTTCTTACCTGAGAAATAGCAGCATAACGGGCTAGACCCCAAGCTGCTTCCTTGACTGCAAGTGCTGATGGACCATTGGGAATGCTCACAACAGTACGCCTAATCAACAAACCAAATTAGCGTTGACCGAATTAATCCCTATTTTGACCGACAATTCAAACTTACCATTTCGCGAAACGGGCACCCTGCTGGTAGTAAGCAGCAGAGCGAGAGGCGAGCCCGTCAAGACCTTGGCACCATGACTCATCGTTTGAACCGGCCAACGGAACCAAACCCTGTTACAAAGATTCCATTAGCTAACAAATTTTTGTTACAGCCTCAGAGGCTATCGACGTCTATGGGTTGTATAATATTACCTTGTCCGTTTTGATACCGGGAACGATGCCCTGTTCCACTAGGACATCGACGATCTTCTTACCATCGACTGTGGATTGGTACAAAGTTTCCTCGAAGAGGATGGCACCAGAGATGTAGTTGCCTAGACCGGGTGCGCTAACCAGGAGGGTTCGGTAAGCCTGGCGGTTAGCCTCGGTGTTCTCTAGACCGATCGAGGCTAACCGTTTTCCACAAGTAGCGTTCGACTCATCCATGGCCAGGATTCCTCGGCCAGGGGTGGCAATAGTTTTCTACATTACCACATAAACTCATCAGAAAAAACTAATTATCTACAACTATTATAACAGACATCTAAACATCTCTAAAGCTTTTAAAAATTCTCATCACGGGTCAATAATGGTCCCAAATTGAGTCATAGTCGATTTGATTCTCATTCGATAACGACTGACTTTTTTTCTGATTTATATCCGATCCAAAGTTCAAAAATCAGTTGTATAAACATAAGAAAGAAACAGCAAAAACACGAACCGCTGTTTTGACGAGTTCATCGGCGTAACTGGCACGAACAGCGAGTGCAGAGGGTGCAGTCGAGTTGAAACGGACCACAGAGACGGGTGACTGGCGAAGGGTCTGACCCTTGACCCATTCAGACTTATCAAGGATGGTTGCTGGAGATGTCTTGAAGAGAGATGCTGAGGCCATGGTTGGTTTCTATGAGCTCAACTTCTATCCTTTTGATGGAATTAAACACCACTCATTGTGTGTTTGGGTTCACTGGTTTTATACTTCTGTTTGGTGTCACTGGCGATATGCTTTTTGAGGCCAAAATGTGTTTTCCAGTAGAATGTTGCCACGTGGGTTGATAACTTTGCTGACATGGCGTTGGGAATTGAGCAGGAGGTTATGAGATGATATGTGATGAAGGGACGAAATTTGTCCTCGATGGGAGTCCTTATGATTGCCTTTAGTTGAAAAGGATGATTTGGAATGAATTTCACATAAATGGTCCCTGGACTTGCGCTAATGTTACACTGGCTCTTGGTTTTGCACCTTTTTTTTGTCTGTTTTCATCTATTCACTATGTTTTTTTCTAACAACTATTTGTAAAAGGTGAAATACAAAGAAACTTATTTTTATTGCTTTTTTTGTTATAACATCATATTTGAATTATTTCTACTACAATATTGTATTATGAAGAATCTATTCATTTAATGAAATAACATCCAAATACAACACAATATACCCTAATAACAAAAAAATTACAATTACAATATTATAACTATGTAATTTTTAAAGGATATAAGTCTCAATATTTTCAACGATTTAACAAAAATGTCCTAAACTTTATTTTTTTTACTGTAAAGTCCTAACTACCGACAATTATACGCTTACCCTTTTTTGCCGGTCAATCGGTAATAAGGACTTTACTGTAAAAAAAAATTAAGACTTTCTTGTCAAATCATGAATTAGAACTTTGCTGTCAAAAAATAAAGTTTAGGACTTTCTTATCAAATCGTTGAAAATATTGGGACTTTAATGTATATGTCTCTTTTTTTGTTAGAAATTTAATAATATGATAGTCTTTAAGCACAAGAGTTATTGCAACCTGCTCTGGTCAGCTAGATCCTATTGAAATCTTTAACGTTTGTTTCTTGTTAAATAGTTTTTTTTAATCTCAACAAACCGGCATTGAAAAAAAATAGAGATAATCAAGAAAGAAATAAAGAACCAGGATTGTGTTGGCTTTTTGAAGTCCTAAAAATGGAGAACTAAGAAACCGAAAAAGATGAAACAGCTTTCTTACCCCTTCTCTACATTCACACCCTTTTGACTAGGCGTTGTGTGTGTTTGTACAATTTGTCCCGTCTTTTCAATTCAAGATTTGACGGAGAACCAAGAACAAAGCTCTACAAGTCTTCTCAGCCTCTCTCGCTCTCTCTTTTGCATCTGTTTCCCCATATTGTGATTGTAGCAGGGTAAAGATGATGATGGTAAGAAAAACAGTGGTGATGCGACGAAAATCACAATTAAAAGTTCTTGGGCTACGAATTGGGTCTCACTGATAAAAATTATTTGTTTCTGGGGAAACCAAGACTACACACTAAAGTCTCAATATTTTCAACAATTTGACAAAAAAATCCTAAACTTTATTTTTTTGACAGTAAAGTCGTAATTACTGGCTAACCGGCAAAAAAAGTAAGTGTATCAAAAACTACCGGTAGTTAGGACTTTACTGTCAAAAAAATAAAGTTTAGAACTTTCTTGTCAAATCGTTAAAATATTAAGACTTTAGTGTATATATCCCAATTTTTAAAGTACAATGATTAATAAGAAAATATAAAGTATAATGATAAATAAGAACAATAATCCAAATTGTCTTTGACTAAACGGTATCAAAAATGGTTTGTTTGGGTTGTAACTATGGATTTGAGAATAGATTGTCGTATGAGTTATCCCTTATAACAGAAAAAAGAAAATATTAAATAAAAAACAATATAAAGTACAATTATTAATAAGAAAACTATTTGAAAGTTTAATGTTGTTCATTTAGGCTCATGAACTAGTTTTGGTGATTAGAATTTTTATAGGTATCAAAAAGGATTTTAAACTTTTGTCTAATACGAGTCTTGTAGCTTGTAGTGCATGTTTGTATAAAACTAGTTTAATATCGAACATAGCAAATGATGAGGTCAACGGGTGCCTATTAGGGGTTTTGATTTTCAATCATATAAATATGGCTAGTTTGTTGTTGTTACCTTTTGTATGTATATATAAATACTTAATGATGAAATCGAATATTTGAGGGGAAATAATATTTTTTATATGGTATCAACTTTGTAACTGATCTTATATTTGTCGTCGTCTTTCTCTCCTCCCACTCTCATGGCTGCCGATGACCCTATACCCAACATTACCATTGATACCTCTCTCCCTCTTCCCACCATTCTTCACATCCTAACTATCAAATCCTCCTTATCCAACTATCTTCTTTAGCAAAACCAAATTATCCCCTTACTATCATATCAAAAACTCATTGGCTACATTGATGGATCTATACCCACCCTGCCACCCATTGAAGATGTCGATGGTATTTGCCTTCTACCTCTACCGCATATGGTCGCACCACACCCAACCTAGACAGCCTTTGCCCTATTTGTCACACACCAAATACAGTTATAAAAAAACATTTTCAAGAGCAAATTTAAACAACCATGTAATTCTATGAAATGCATGTATTTTATAGCTTCCTCACTTTGATGTTTTTAAGTCCTAATTGCTTCCATTATTCTTTTGTGCACTTGGGAATAGTGTCTAACCGATAAAATGTGTTAAACAAATTTAAAAACCTACTTTAGATAATTAATGTGTGAATTAGTAGTTAATTACTTAGTCAACTTTATCGATTTTTTTTTTTTTTTGAAACAGCAAATAATTTAAATATCTCGTCTGTCTGGAATTGAATACAAGACCTCCTAGTTAGTTGTTAGATTAGGAACCTCCATATTAGCCAAATGGATTGGAATACAAGAATTATTACAATTAATGTGAATACATTACCATATATGCTCATCATTGGAAGTGGAATTGAGGAATTATAAGTAAGGGACTTCGTTACTATCTAAACGAATGATGAAGGTCCAATTAGGGAGGGATACAATAGACATGTGTACATGTACATGGAATTGAAATGCACGAGTGGCACATGTAAACGCACTTTTCACTTCACAAGGAAGCATAAAGAGCCTCTTATTTTTAACATGCTCGAATGCAACGAACTAGCTACAAAATAGATGTCCATGTTGGTTGCAATGTGAAACAAACAAAAAGTCTCAAAATATGAACATTACACCATTCATAAAGGAGATCAAAATAAAACATTATTGCAACTCCCATAATTTGTTCAAAACGCTAAAACTAAAGAAAAAATGTTTCCAACATGACACAATAACCAAAATATAGCCTTTGAATCCACATAACTCTTCAATCATAATGGTAATGAAATTGTTACTTTTTTCTGAACATGAATTTGACACTATAAGCTTAGGGACATAACAAAATCATTTAAATCCTCTGTTCTAAGGCCACACGATACTTGCCCCAACAAAAAGGCTCAAATAAACAAGTCACATGACAAAAGTAATGTTATTATGAGAACCCTTGATACAACACATTAAATGGCAAAAAACTACCCCGAAATTTTGACCTCTCCAACAAATCTACCACCTTCTTAATTCTTATGACCAAAATTTTGAACTTCACTCACTCAGTTGACTCTATTTAAGATAAGTAGAAGAAACCCACAAAAGCACATAAGTTACCAATGAAGTTGTCACTTCTAAATTCCTTGGCCCTTTGAGTATTGGTGGAATTACAGACACCATCAAGAATGTTCCCAACAGCCATGAAACGATAAAAGTCCCAACCCTGCAAGTTCAAATACATCAACATAAACACCAACAACTTCCCAATGATTAAAAAAGCAAGAATCTTGAATTCTTCAAGCATAATCCAAGATTGCATACCCATAAAGAAAAGCTCTGAGTTTGCTCTTGAGGCGATCATGTATGAAATATATTGTGGTAATGAGTGATATGGCTACTTGAAGAGTGGGCCCTTCTTCAGTTGGAAAGATGATTGTAAGAGCTGCAAGTATCAAAAAGGCTATGGATGTTTTGATGATGAAATTGGTAGCTGGGGTTCTAAACCTGCTTGTGATAGTCTGGACTACACGAGACTGACTTACTTCCCTCATCTTTTTCTTGACATTGATTTTAGGGTTTTTTCTCTCGTAAAATTTCTGCATAATGATTTTGTCATGTGCAGATTCGATTGCATCAACACTTGGTTTGTGACCTGCGTATTTTTGAACCAAGAAGTTTCTAGCACTTTGGATTTCATCTTCAGAAGCTTCTTTGCTGATTCCAAGTCTTTTATATGGATCCTTTATGTTGATTCTAGGAAAGATAACTGCAGTTAGATGGATTGGGTTCAATTAGAACAAAGAAATTGACCATTTTTATGAAAGATATGGAGTAATGGAAGTAAGGATTACCGGATGATTCATCTCTAGCATCACCAAAAGAAGCATCCATGGCAGATTTTACCAAAGGAGTTCTTCTTGGGGTGTATCTTTGTGAAGAACCAGACCAATTATTTCGTCTGCTTAGATGATGAAATCAGAAAATTAATCCTAACCAAATGGTAGTTTTAGCAGATATAAACTTTTAAGAGGTGATTAGCATAAATTACCTTTCAAGACAAATGAACTCTTTACGTTTACCATGATCTTGGAAAACTGGAGTGTGCTTACATGGTAAAGCTGGACCTCTTGAATGGAGGTGGAACCGATACTTTGTGGGGCTTCCGGTTAATCCAGATAAATTCATCTTCTTTTATAAAAAGAGCTGAATTTTATCACAAGGGCTTCAAAACGGAAACAAGAAGACGATTGTTAGAGCATGAAACGCTATGAAGAACTCAAAAATAAGATCTATTTCAGTTAACCTAAAGAGTATTCATCTAATCCTATAACAAATGCAGTTCTTAGTAGGTTCAGAAACAAGAGAATCGTTTCTCCATTGGCACTCAATTAACTTATCCCTGCTACTCGTGAACAGAGCAGGATTGAAGAAGGGGCCCGATATAAATTAATTCCTTTTCATTGAGATTTCTGGTAAAGCTATATGCTATAGCTACGGGTGTCGCTGGAGTTGGGGTAAATCAGAATTGCGTATCAATTGTAATGACAAATTCTCATTGTATCAACGCAAATCACACCTTGCGACAAATTACTATAAGTTTTTTTAGGGTCAATTGATGAAAGTTTACATGAGCATAGCATCGTTAAACCCACAAAAGTACAAACTTTTAAAAGTGGACTTACCTGAAGAATGAAGAGAATGAGAATGGAAGAACGCTGTATGTTCTTTCAGAAGTAATTATGCGTAATCTCCATGGAAATTCAGACGACGATTTTGAAGCAAGCAACGGATTAGGAGCAGCACCACAGCAGGCAAGGGTTTTTGTCCGATTGAAGATGCCTTCTGAACCCTAAATCTCTAGACATTCAAATAAGATTTATGAATGCAAAGTAAACAAATCCGTTGTAGTCTAGTTGGTTAGGATACTCGGCTCTCACCCGAGAGACCCGGGTTCAAGTCCCGGCAACGGAATCTTTTTTTTTTTTTTTTCATTTTGAACAAAAAACACATAATTATCATATGATTATTCTATTTGATTGAATTATTTGAGCTATTTGTTAAAATACCATAACGATGATTATCTTTAACCTTCACTTTTAAAAACTAGTGGATTTTCTTATTGGTGTTCTTCGTTACTTTTTCATTTGGGCTTTTTGCAATTTTTGGTATTTCAAAGTACTTCCTCATCATAGATCTCTCAATAGGATAGGTTTAGAGCGAATCACCTTGATCCAAACTTTTTAAAAATTTTGAAAACATGATCCGTCCCGACCCATTAACCCTCTGGGTTTTAAATAATCAAATTCATATTTGTATTCACCGAATCAACGAATATCCGACTCTTTTACCATTAAATTACATAATTTTGATGTGTGTCATAAAGTAATAGTTTTCAATAAAAAAAAGTCAATCAAAACAAGAATTACATTACTAAAACTCAAAATCCAATACGACAAACAATACTTAATACTCAAAATAAAATACAATGCAGATTACATTTTACTTAGACATCGAGTTAAATACTTTTTTGTTTCCTTGTTGGTAGCCAATCTTGTGTAGTCACCAAAGCCTCCACAGTTTCAGGTGGCATGGACAAACGAAATTCATCAATTATTCTTCCTCCAACGCTAAATGCATCCTCGTATGCAACACTAGTTGTTGGAACAGCTAAAATGTCTCGTGCAATCTTAGCTAAAGTAGGATGTTTGACATTATTAACTTTCCACCAATTTAGAATATTAAATGACTCGCTTCTTAGAAAGAGAGGTTCTTCTAAATACATCTCTAACTCGGTTTTACGTGTGGTAACTACATTCGATTTCTTCTCATACCAAGAATCAAACCCACTTAATTCATCATCATTGGAATGTACCTTATTTGAAGAACCATGAACTTCTTGGCTTGATTCTACTTTTGAATGAGATATACAATCTTTATACTCATTAAAGAGGTCAAAGACAACATTGCGAACATTTTCAATATATGGAGTAGCAAGAGAAGAATGGTCTTATTGTAGTAATACAACAACACCCGATAAAACCAAGCAACATTCATCCCAATATTTTTCAAACTTTAACTTCATTGGGGCAGCCATATTTCGCAAAAAAAATCATATTCACTAGTCTCCCACTTCATCATATGCAATTTAACATTACATATATCAGGAAAAAAACACATTTGATGTAGGATAAGAAGTACCACAAAATCGATTTGTTTCTTTATAAAGGTGTTCTAGGCAATTACTTATCACTTTGGCAACTTTCCACTCATGGTTAGTTGGATGAAATTTATAATTTTGATCTATTTGTGTCAAACGCCAAAATACCTCTTTCATTTCTAGAGCACTTTGAACCATCAAAAAAGTTGAATTCCATATGGTTGGACAATCCATTTTAACTTTTTTATTATCTTTAAGCTTGCATTCAGTTTTTAGATTGTTAAACTTTTGTGTAGCAAATGGAGAACGTTTCAAGTATTTTTATAGTTTCTCTAACCTTGTGAATGAATTCACCAACAACTTGGCAAAGAGTTTCATTGCTTCAGTTGTTCGAAGGAGGTTGTGCAATTGTGACAAAGTAGTTTCATTGTTGTTGTTCAAATGATAGGCCAATATGAACTGATCATAACAACTTGGCAGAGAGTTCAACACTATGTCGATTGTCAGCTCTTCGTCAAAATTCACAATGAGCTTGATTAGCCTATCCACGTATCGTTGCATTCTCAAAACGTGGTTGCTCACAGACTCTCCATCTGTCACAACTAGCATTTTAAGGCTAGGAAATTTTGTCCATGTGCAATTAACTCCTGATGTATCTTGTGACTCTAAGTTTGATGTTATACAAATTATACATTCACAAACGACAATTCAAGTCAAAAACTCACTCGTGAAAGCTCTAAACCTAATTCGATACGCTGCATTCACTCAACTTTGGGCTTGTAACCATAACTTCCCGGTTCAAACCTATTATTGGACCAGGATTCATTTATTGGGTCTAATGGGCCAGTAACCCCTCAACTTGGTTCTTTTGGGCCAAGAATCCTGATTTGGGCCCTAGTCGGACCCACATTCATTAAGCAATAGTATTTTGGGCCATAAGACTCTTTATGGGCCTTATTGGGCCGGAAACCACTCAACTTGTTTTTATGGGCCGAAAACCCACTTAATCAATCACATTGGGCCAAAAACCCATATCATGTACCCTTTTTGGGCCATAAGCTCATATGTGGGCCCACATGGATCGAAAACCCCTAATGGGCCAATGTTATATCAATCCCAAGATCCATGTTCTTTTTCTTTCCTCCTACTCTCGGCCTTGTTAAAAAATAAATAAATAAATAAATAAAACAAATGAAGAGTGTACATGGGGGTGACACCTCATTGTTGTTTAGTGGTAATCCAAGCAACTATCTCCCGTATTTCTAAGTCCAAACCACCATGTATTAACCATTTAACTCTCTCTCTCTCTCTCTCTCTCTCTCTCTTTCTCTCTCTTCTCTCTCCCTCTACTTACGGCCAAGAAGCATCACCACCACCCTCATTTTCTTCTTCACCCTTAAAGGAAAAACTCCCTCTTCTTTTCCTCTTCTAAAATTGTAGGTGTGTGAGTTAGCTCAACAAGGTCTTCAAGCTTGCAAACTTGGTAAGTTACTTCACATCCAAGATGTTTAACTTCATTTTTACGCTAAGATTTTCACTCATAAACACTTGCATTTCGTGATTCAAGCTTCCTAAAGCTCCCTAAGTTCGAAAACTCTTCCCAAGAAGCATTCAAGGCCGAAATCTCCTTCAATCTTCTCTTCAAAACCCAACTAACACCAAGGTGAGCTTCATACCCCTCCTTTTTCGTGATTTACTAACTTTTGGGGGAGAATACAAGTTGGTTTTGTGTTAAATCTAAGTATTTATGCATGCTTGTGTGTATTTTCATGATATGTTGTGTAAATATGTTATGAAACTGTGTTAAACACTCGTAAACTCGATATATCTTCCAAGTCTTGAAGATATTAGGAAAACAAGTTACTTTATGTAACTCACTATGATGTTGAAAATATTAAACATGTTAAAGGATACCATAAAACTAAAGAAAATCTAAAGAGGGGCCATATTTGCCAAATAAGCAAAAGTGAGCCTTTTTATGATACTCACGGTTTTGAAGGGTCAAAAGAGTCATTTTTGGATAAAAATGGCTTGTTGTGACACTCACAGTTTTATGGGGTTCAAAAATGTTACTTTTGTCAAAATGGGCTTCATATTGGGCCTCCTCGGTTTTTATGGGCCAAATGTGCACATTTTCATAAAAATGGGCTCTATTTGGACATTCATGGTTTCATGGGCTTAAAATGAAATTTTCAGCCTTAATGGGCTTAAAATGACATTTTTGATAAAAATGGGCCTTATTTGACAAAACACGGTTTTTAATGGGCTTAAAATGTCAATTTTAACTAAAATGGGCCTTGAATGTAAATTCTCGGCTTAATGGGCCAAAAATGTCATTTTTAACAAAAATGGGCCTTGATTGTAAATTCTCGGCTTTAAGGGGGGCCTAAAATGTTATTTGTAATAAAAATGGGCCATTGTTGAAATTCTCGTGCTTAAATTGTCATTCTTAACAAAAGTGGGCCTTTATTATAAATTTCGTTTTGTTGGGCCAAAAATGATCATTTTTAATAAAAGTGGGTCTTTTTATGTCATTTTGGTAATAATTGAGTTAAAACGAGTATTTTGATGAGAAACGGACTATTCACGTCGTTTATGTTATTTGGGCCTTATTGGGCCTTTACGTACACAACTACATGTTTTATTGGGCCATGTTTGGTATTTCTATCATCATTGGGCCTTAAATGCCCAATTGTTTTCTTAACGAGCCTATACGACACATTTTATGCTTATCGGGTCGATATCAATTAAATATTTGACATTTTGATATGAACAAATATATTTTTTATCACCGATGAATTGTAAACAAAATACATACTTGAAACATTATTTAAAGTGTTAAGCAATGAGATACAATATTCGCGTAAACTTAGTTAAGGTTCTTGTGAGACACGTCTTCATTCGTACCTACCTAGTGTACACCATAAGTCATGTAGTTATAACCAGAGTCTCCTGGAAGGAGAGCGAGAATTTGTGTATAGATCTATACGGGGTTGACACCCCCGCACCTGAGCTGATCGCTACAGCTAGACGGGTCAGTCTAGGGTGACAAATGTCTTACCTAACCGACGTCTGAAGAACGTCACGACAGGCATATCAGTCATATCAAGTATGGTTATAGCGACTCATATAGAGAATAACAAACAAATAAATTTACGGAATACACATACTATACTCCTGATACAATGTACGAACTATACATTTACTACATTACTCGGGTCTTAGGGTTTTAAGACCACTTCACTTTTACAAACAGAAAATATCGGATTTTCTGGGAAGCACTCTTTTTACACTACCAAGCAAGAACACGCATGCTTTAATACAAGATTTGAAACAAAACTTTCAAACCATTTTCACGGGAATATCGGATTTATGGTGTTTACAAAATGATGCAAAACTTTTCATACAAACATGCTTAAGAACTCACCAACATTATATATGTTGACGTTTTCAAAATAACTTGTATTCTCAGGGACTCGTTAATCAGGTCGGTCGTCAAAGAAATGCGAACTTTTGTTGTATTTTTGTTTTCATCATACATTTAACATTTTGTCATGTAATTTGTGAACAAACACATTGATGTAAAACTATGATGGTTGTTATATTTCATTTATGGTGATGATGTTGTCTATGATTCAATTATATACATTGTGATGATATTACAAGATGAAGTCACCC